TCGGACATCAATCGTAAACTTTGGATTTTTCTAATCCAAGTTTGACTTAAATGAAATCTGCATCCTATAATTTTTGTTTCTGGCCACATAAATCTTATGGATAAAAGAATTGAGTTTTCAAAATCCGATGCAACTTCAGCAGGTTCAAATTGATATCCTAGTTTTACGCATTCTTGGCTTACGATTTCGAAACATTTGTTAGGGTAGGGGGTGTTCCGATATAATGAGCAGGGACAAAATGTCATTCAAAATGGATTAGGCTTATTCTTACCATCGGCGCAACAGGGTTATCATAAATTCCGGGTCCTTTTGAGACCCAAATTAGCCCAGGTAGAATAGGCGCAATGGGGTTATCCCCACAGTGACAACAACGATGTGATACTTCCCGGCCTAGGCCGGAAAAATGCTATACTTTCTCAAAGAAAAAGCGTCCGAGGAGTGAGCACTTCCCGGACGGTTGCCGAAAAAAGCTAATTAAATATATGAAAGGATGCCACCTTGAAGAGGATTGTAATATCAAACATATTATTTTTGATTTTGAATAGCTATTCTCTCAGTTTTGCTGAGACTGAAATGATTGATAAATATTTGGAATGAGGTATCATCGACTCGATCATGATAGATAGATATATAGATATAGATGTTTATTTGACCAAGTTACAAAATACATTATTTGTAAAATACATACACATTACAGTAAATTCAATAAAATTATTATTACTTAATTATTATTATAGATTCAACAAATGGCGTGTGGAAATATTCTTCGACTGCATAAAAACAATGAGTCAAAATATCTTTCTTAATTGCGGACTTGAATGATTTTGCATTTTCACCCAATAACCTCATACCACTAGGGAGACGATTGAATAAATTGAGATCTAGTGTGTTTTTCGTTGACTTTGCCAGCCTGTGATTTGGTACTCTTAGATGATTAGCATTCCTTGTCATATAGGTAATTATGGACATCTGAATTTGTCACGAGGTTTGTTCTATTCCTATTAATTTCCAACAGTGAAACAAAAATATATAATGATGGAAGAGGCATTATATTCAAACTTTTAAAAATTGGTTTACAGTGGTCTCTGAAACCAGCACCGGCTACTATCCTGACGCAAACGAAAACGAAAAAAACATGATCTCATAGTTTCTCTGGATATCTGTGTACTCAAATTGCGTAGCACGAATATTGTGCTTGAGAGTTTTCGGGATAATTCTTGAACATGACAAGACCAATTTAGTTTATCATCGATGACCAAACCAAGCAGCTTGACACTATCACCTTTAACAATGTTATTGTTCGTTGAGAAAATGAGATTTTGTGTTTTATCGTCATTGAGTTTGAGATTATTGGAAGTAAACCATTTTGTAGCACGAGTAGTAGTTATAGAACTATTCACCTTCAAATCTTCAATATCCAAGCTAGCATCAACCAAGGTTGTGTCGTCTGCGAAAGCAACACAAGTCTTGGGATGTATGTTATGAAACAGATCATTCACGTAAATAATAACAAGAGAGGACCTAACACAGAGCCTTGTGGGACTCCATTTATAACTGATCTGTATTCAGATGATGATTCATTGAAGCTCACACATTGTTTCCGATTACTCAGATAACTGAAGAAATCTAGTGCCAATCCCCGAATTCCAAAAAACCTCGACCAATATACTGTGAGAGACACAGTCGAAAGTCTTGGAGAGATCACATAATGTTACTGATACATTTCTCCCACCCTCCAAGCATTCCACTATGTCACCCACTACCCTGAAAACTGCTTGGGTTGTACTATATCTCTTCCTGGAACCAAATTGGCATGGATCAATCAAGTTATTAGATTCCACGTATAACATCAGCCTGGATTTTCAAGATAATGATAATGTCATTAGAAGACTGGTCATTTTTCTGGATAGAAAACTTTCCTAGACGAATATGACACAAAAGCAATTTTGGAAAAATATTTGTGCCTAGAATTGAATAAAAATTTCAACTTTAGGAATGTTCAATCAAACGAAATATCTATAGCAATCAAATTCTTTACATGCTCTCGATTCAGAGAACGAGGTGTGAATGAAAGAAACAAATAATGTACCGAAAATAGACAAAAATCATAATATTGACATTGGCTCCTTCCAAGTTTTGTGCATATCCTAATTTTGAATTGAATTACATATAGTATCTTGACTTTTCGAATAATTACAATCGGATGAATTTTGTTTGAAGTGGAATTCATTCCGTTCTACCACTGTGATGAATGAGAATAATTATCAATCATCAACCTACTTGAAATAAAAAAATATATGTATCGTACAGATCGAAAAGTGTCCAACATACGGAATTATTTCAGTCAATTACAATAGTTTTATCATAATAATATACAATTGTCATACACTGTGTGTTTATCGCGAAAACATACTCATTACCATACACCGACCATTACCCAAAATTGATAGTCGCTAGAAAAAGTCTATGGGAAACGTAATAGGAACTTGATATTCACATAAATTATGGGTTTGTTTATGTGTTTTAATCACCGTTAAACGTGCCAAAGAATAACACAATGTCTGCTTCAGAGAATTCCAAACTTTCAGTTTCTTTATTCACATCAGAAATTGTTGATAAGTTGTAACATGAAAAATTGTATTAATTCTCTGTACGTGTGTCACAGCGAAATTTCATGAAATATGATATTACTCCAGTGGGGGTAAATATTTTGCCATATCTTTATTAACAAGTCATGGATGACCTTGTTAGGAAGAAAATATCCATTTATGTAATAACAACACGTCGTTGTTTTCGATCCGCATGTGAAATAAGTGGTAGGTATTTATATATACCTTATATATTATTACATTATGAATTATAAGAATTATCTGTGCGTAGTTGAAAATTATGTGTTTGAATAAAGGAATTCCCAAGTATAGATAGTTCTGAGTAGAATATCAATTTTGTACTGAACATTTTCTTAATCTTTTGGAGCGCACGAAAGGAAATCCCTATCATGTTCATGGAAAACTTTTCCAGGCATTGGTAAAATATATCGTCAAACTGGGTGATTTTTCAAAGGGAATCTCCACTGCATCTTGGTGAATATTGAAATTAGACTATGGGTTCTCCACTTCGGAAGTTTTTTCTTATCGAGTTGATAATTTAATAACATGTACATAATAAAATTATTTTTCATAATTTAAATGTAACAAAGCCAATCAATTCTGAATAAATTTTCATCGGGAAGCATACCTCTGAATTTTCAAATAATTCCGTGTGCATGGTAATACTAATCTAATTTATTGAAGCTATTATGGTTTTAACACTAATAGTTCTCGAGATATCGACTGGAAAAAACATTGTAGAATAGTCCCTGTATAAACATCTGAGATAAGAATTCTTTGATATGGTGATCTATCTTATCCCCCCTCACATATTGAAAAAGAAAATTATGAATCCACTATTCATTCATGCAGATAAGATAAATAAATAGTTATAACCACTCGAATAATAAATAAGAATACCTCGAGATTCGAAGCAATACCTATTTCAGAAATTTAGACGACTAAAACTCATTTTTCCCCCACTAGCCCTAAGAAACTGTGCTAAAATGTATAACCAACACTACTTAATGCTTCTCGAGTCGTGAACTAATATTTCACTGCCAAGATATAATTTTTTTCTACGGCTGTAACACAAAATTGCTCTTGTTTAAGTTTTACTGTGTTCGATAAATCAATAATGAGGTACTTTGTCTGGCTACAAGCCGAGGAAATAAAAAATATCGCAATTATCTGTTACAGCCGTAAAAAAAGTATATAGGTAGTGTACTATAATTCACACGGAATGCAAAATTTTCCACTCGTATATGCTTGGTAGCATTCGCCTTGGAAATTACTAGCATTCCGTGCTCGTTAAACAATATACTATTTCACCGTGACCCATGGAGTTCCACAGGGCTCGGTCCTCGGACCTTTACTTTTCATCATTTATGTAAATGATATATGTCAGCACATGTTGAAAGAAACTAGCACTATTCTTTTCGCAGACGATACCTACGTTACTCATCAATACTTCTTCAGATTTTATTGGCCTCTCGGTTTTAGCTAAGATTTCAATTGATGTTGCTAGGGTGAAAAAACGCAAAAGCTGATTATTTCCAGCAAAACCCAATATACATCAGGTGCGCACTGCAAACTTCTTGGAATTACGATTGATGACTCTCTAAACTGGCAATATCATACACAAAAACTGAACAGTGGGCTCTCCAGTATACTATTCCTTATAAGAAGATTGCGATCTGTTGTGAGTCTTGAAGTGTTGAGACAAATTTATTTCGAATCAGCTATGGCACTATTTCATGGGGGAACTCAAGCAATGCCATAAGTATTTTCAAATCTCAAAATATAGCCATTCGCCTCCTTGCTGGTGTGGGCTTCAGAGAACACTGTCGACCGTTATTTACTGAAATGAAAATAATGACACTACCTTGTATTTATATTTATCAAACTATATGTGAAATTCACTCAAACAGGAGCGATTATACTCATTCCTCAGATATTCATGAATATGAATCGAGATCAGCTAACCAAATAGTCTTTTCCCGTTACAGGTTAACAAAATCGAAATCAAATTCCATTAATTTGAAGCTTTACAATAAGTTGAGTTCAGAGTTGCGCTCCTCAAATAATAGAGATCTCCAAACTAAACTGAAGAAATTTCTCATAGAAAATGTTTTCATAGTGTGTCTGAATTTCTAAATTCCCGATGATTGTTCTCAATCTCTTTTCATCTTCAGTTTGCGTTGTTTTTGGAAAAAGGATTGTTTGTACACCTTCTTGTTTATTGGTGAATAAATGTTTTAAATTCAATAAATTTCAAGCCCCATATGTTGTATATGTTAATATTGATAAGTGTTTTTATATCATATTGCTCTTTTGTGCAAAAATTCGACGTTTTGTAAACCTTAGTGTAAAATAGCCAAATAAATCTATCTATCATTTCTATTATTTCAGATAAACAATGCCGGCTGGAAGGATTTATTCACACCGTCGGAGTTATCATCAATTTTAGGGAATTCCGAATCAGGTTTGTGTTAAAGTTTTACAGTATCAAATGGTTCATCAAGTTACCACAAATGTATGGTATAAGTATAGCCATTATTGTTGGAAACATTACCATCGATATCAGTTCACCAACACTGTATAAATTAATATCTATTGTTAAAATTAATAACATCAACATTCAGTATCATTCATTCACTTGCATTATTATTTTTAGCACTCGTAGAGGTAAAATACTATGACAGTTTGAGGGCATCTATTGATTCTTTCACTTTTCCATTAAGAGGATGAAAATAAGCTATATCATTAATTTGTTTATTCGTTTGAACTGGTCCGAGCTGAATATTGATTGTCCTTTACAATGAAAATATTCTTGAATAGTTACCTAACTACTATATTGATTGATTGATTGATTGTTTTTATTACCGCAAGGAACATATCTGTTTATAATAGGTATACAACACATATAAAAAAATAATGATAATAATATTAAAAGATCAACTAATACTTTTTCGTGAGATGAAAGTTATAACATTTCAATTCTGTGTAATCAAATCATGTCAAATATTTTTCAATCAAATTGTCCTGACCAAGTATTGTTTAAGATTGACTTCAAATTATCTTACATCATGTATATTCTTTTTCATTCGGTAATGAATTGTTTACTCACGGAATTATGTGTAGGTATATTCATTTTTATTTTATATTCAAAACAAGTTCTACTCATGAACTTCTTGTGTACTGTGTTTTTCCAATAGAATATTCGAGAAACTCAGTTTTGCTCCATTTATTCAAATTTATAATATTCCGTGACGACATCTTCAAACCACTTGACAATTACTATGGATTCTATCAAGTAACTGCCGAATCAATTCAATAAAAAGAATTTTTACTCTATACAAAGAAAACTTACATAGAAAATATAGAAGAACCATGTTTCAACTACCAACACAAGCCACTTATACATCTTTGCAATTTGCATTCCTGCTACTGGGTGGCTCCGAAGGTTGTCTTCCTCCTGCACTCGAGCTTTGTTTTGCTGGCCTAGGTCAATTGATGAGACATATCAAACCGAAACAGTATGTTTTGTATCACCTGACCCCTATAATTCTAGTTTTCTCAACACACTCTAAATTCACTAATCTGACTTTTATTTTTCATCATTCCATCAGACAATCGGATCATAGTCTATCCAAATTTGTTGGAACTGGCAGGAAACGAAAGAAAAATTGACATTGATGTTCCTGAATTCGGCCTCAACTTCAGTTTGCAAGTGAAACCAAATGATGAAATCGTTTCCAGAGATTTCATAGTGTTGGAAACATTTGCCAATGGATCCCATCCCGTTATCCTACAAGAAGAGGACAGAAGCTGCTACTTCAAAAACGAATTGGCCGCCTTGAGTTTATGCGATGGAGTGGTAAGCAAAAATTATGAACCAAGAATTAAAGGAAATGTTGAATTATTGATAAATTCCAGCGGGGGTTGATACACATCGACGAAGAATCCTTTTTTCTCATCAGCCCATTGCCAAAAAGGTTCCATACTGTCTCGGCGGAACCTCATTTACTCATCAAAAAAAGACATGGACAACATTCCCAACATTCACTGCCCCTTAAAAACGATACCAAAGATATGAGAGATACCAAAGCAAAGAAAGACATTTTCAAAAAGAAAGTTAGGGTTAGACGGGAAACTTTTCCAGAAGGAGCACCCGCTTTCGTGGAAACTGCAGTGTTTGTGGATAAGGACCTTTTCGAACATATGAAGACTAATTTTCCTGTGAATACGGAGAGGGAGCTGATTCGATTCGTTTTGGCAATGATTAATGCAGTAAGTACGAGAATATTTTTTGACATTTGTAAGTTTCAAAAACACGACCAGTTTTGCTACCACCGTAGGTATCTTCAATTCAGCTCAATCTTCAAATAAAGAATGAATTCTTGAAACAAACTGAACAGATAAAGTATTTAGGTATTCGGTTTGATGAAAAATTTTCAAATGCTCTGCCTGCTGAACTTGATTTGTTTCTATTACCTACTTCCTCTGTTTACATCATGCCACGAAAAGAGGCAACTATTGGAGGGGAATCGACTTTGGCGGGTTCAGCGGTACGAACGAGCAGGCCTGGCATCTTTGAGATATGAGATCTTCGTAGGAAAATCGATCGATTTTATCAATATTTTTTATCAATATTATCATCATGTCCCTGTAGGTTTGTTTCAATCATTCTGTGATTGCTTTATGCTACCGAATGTACGGGGTCGTTGAACAAGTATCTGGGGTACAGGGCTCCAATTTAAATAATGATAACCTGTTTACTACTTTTATTTGAAACTATATAAACATGTTCCAATAACTGTTTGACCATGCTAATTATAACCATGTTTTTGCCTTTTTCTTCTCCACGTGAGTACCAATCTGTTACTTGATATACCTACCTACTTAGTGGTTCGTTGTTCTTTGTAGAATAATTTCTTTCTGGTTGATGATGGATGCCTTCTGGGTCTGAAACATGTCCCCTCCTTCTTGAATTTGGAATTAAACGTTGTGGAGACGACTTGGAGAGTTCTTATTATATTTCAAACAATGATAATTGAAGATACAACTTCTAATGAATCTCGCAAGTATTCAAGATGTTTCTTACTTTCGATTTAAAAATTAAATGAACCTAAAAGTTCTTGATGTGCAGGTGCAGCTATTATACCACGACCCCAGCCTCGGAAGGCCGGTGAACTTCGTGCTGAAGCGCTTGGAGATCCTGAAGGAGGAGGTGTCAGGCTTGGTGAGACCGCCGGACATCGACCGATTCCTCTCCAACTTCTGCAACTGGCAGAAGACCAAGAACCCGATGGGCGACAGCCAGCCGCTCCATTGGGACCACGCGCTCATCCTGACGGGGTTGGACCTGTACGTGAGGGGCAAGCACGGCAAGATCTCCAATCAAGTGGTCGGTGAGTACGAATTCTCCAGGTGGAACAATGAAATTGGTTGAATATTGAACCATTGTTGACCTGAATGAAAACCTAGTAGGCGACCTAGTACGCGAGGAGATACAGCTCTTGCCTACTAACTGCCTAACTAGGTTGTCATCTAGAACGACAATGATTGAACCAATATAGGATATAAAACGACAATGATTGAACCAATATAGGATATATTGGTTCAATCATTGTCGTTCTAGGGGAAATATTGATATTATTCGATGTCGAGTTTATATTCATATACAAGACTAGCAGACCTGGCAAACGTTGTTTTGCTATATACATTATTTCTATAATATATTTTTTCAGTTCAATATTCATCAAGACACTATTATTATTTTATTTTCTACTTCTTTTCAGTTTCGCTATCTATAAAAGCTTGTTCCTTCAGTTCTTGAAACTACCATTCATTTCAATTTCTTTTTAGTTCACTTGAATTTCCTAATTTTGACGAAAGAATCATAATATCCGACTGCTTGAACCCCAAATGAAAATTTACATAATTACAAAACTCGTCCGCAATATATTGGAACTACCATCTCGAATTTCCTGATTTTGACGAAGGAATCATAATTTTTGATCCCGAAATCGCCCACTTACAAATTTTGAATAGAATCGGTAGAAACTCGTCTTGAATTTTCAAATCCCGCACTTTCCAAATTTTGAAAAAAGAATCATAATCTCCGACCCCGATAGCCCCCAGATACCAATTTTGAATAGAATCGGACCATAATTACAATACTCGTCCGATATATTAGATCCGCCATCTTGAATTTCCTAATGGTACCGGGATAAAAAGTATCCTATAACCTTCTCCTGGTTTTAAGCTACCTCCCCACCAATTTTCAGCCAAATCGATTCAGTAGTTTCTGAGCCTATTCAATACATTACCTAACCCAACGTAGAGCTAACCCAACGTTAAGGTAACCCAACGTGGAGCTAACCCAACGTAGACCTGACCTAACCTAACCCAAAAAAGATCTAGCTCAACGTTGAGGTAACTCAACGTGGACCTAACCTTACCTAGCCCAACGTAGAGCACACCCAACGTTGAGGTAACCAAACGTATACCTTACCTAAGCTTACCCAACGTAGAGCTTACTCAACATAGAGCTTACCCAACGTAGAGCTAACCCTAGATAGAGCTAACTCAACGTAGAGCTAACCCAATGTAGAGCTAACCCAACAACTAACAAACATACAAGCAATCCAATCTTTCCTCTTTATAATATTAGTATAGATTGGACAAAGATATGATGCCAACTTATAGAAACCGGTTTCCTATAATTCTCATATGTAAATTCCATATTGAATTTATATTTGCCTACTACATTGGCCAAAATAAGGATGTGATCATTTTGCAGTATTATGTTTATACTGTTTGTTTGCCACACGAGCTACATATCAAAAGGTATAATGGCAACGTCGCTTTATCTTCATTAGATACCTACTTATGAATCTTTATGAGTATTCACTTCAATAGATGGTTATCCTATGAGGAAATTCCTTTTGTCAGACGAGAACACTAGATGAGCTGCTTGACCGGGAAATACACCAACTACTGTTGTCCCTCATAGTCCAATAATCAAGTCTAACACGCTTGAAAACTATACAAAGGGCTCTATGGTCTGTAGGTCCTCTATCCTTATTCATAATTCCATTTCTATTCTTAAACTTCTTGATTGAAAGTCATCTCAGATATGCGATCGTTGTCTGGGGTGCATATTTGAAATATCACCTTCATCCCTCAGATAGTTACAGGATATTTTTGAGGTTGATATGTGGAAGGAATCAAGCTTCCCGTCTTTATTTTGAATCGCCCAGTAAATTAATCCTAGTTAAGATCCGGAATAGACCTTTCGACGCGATATCGAATCGTCTAGTATACTCGGAGTTAAAAAAAATCAAAATTTTCGGAAATTAATCGTGTATGCAAGAGAAAATTTGAGTTAACCCGATAAACTTTTTCTACTTGAGATCTAGAGTTGGGTGAAGAAACATACTGAAAGGAATAATTAATACCGCATTTTCAGTTCATCTGATAGTTTGGTCAAGAACCTTATTATTGAGACGGAATAAAAGTTTATATATTTTGTATGTTTTTGTAGGTCTGGCCCCCGTAGCAGGAATGTGCACAGCCACCAGCAGCTGTACTGTCAACGAAGGTAGACACTTCGAGAGTGTCTATGTGGTGGCTCACGAAATTGGACACAAGTAAAAGTTCTTCCTGTTCATGAAAGATGGTGCAATATCAAGTCTCCATTATTGTGCCTTTCCTACTTTATCCAAAATTTCAGCTGGTGCACTGCGAATTTCTTTCAGGATTTTGGCTTTATTTGTTTTCAGAGTTCTTTATTATATTCTCCTCAAAATTAGGTCTGCAACTGGTGATAAAATTGTAACATTTGTCAGCTAAAGAAATTTTTCAGGAGACTTGATTTTGCGTCACCTTGTACTAGAACTCTAGACTGCGTCCTATTTTCGTCTGTTTTATAGCTTGGGAATGAGACATGACGGCCCCCTGGCGGAAAACGACTGCGATCCTAGCAGTTACATCATGTCTCCGACTTTAGGAAGCGGAAAAATAACATGGTCCTCGTGCAGCAAGCGCTATCTGCAAAAATTCCTCGAGTAAGTGGCAGTGAGGGTTAAGTTTTGTATCTAGTTTTTGTTGACAGTGTTGGTTTGCAGTCTATTGAGAAGCGTTCGTCACAGAGCCATTACCGCAGTGTCATGCCTTGCAGAGAAAGTGGAACTGAGCTTGAAAAATCTTTCGTCAAACATATCACAAACTATTATACAAATTATATACACTCACCGGCAAAAAAAATCGGCCATCCAGAATTATTAACAATAATAACTGCCAAATAATTTGTTTTTATTAAATACCTATACGGTATATGGGAACTTTCTGAAATATGACAGGGTTGCAGGTTTTGTTTGTCTGTGGGTTTGTATCTCCACTATATTCTGAAAAACAAAGCATTTGAGTTTGATTATACTAGATTCAATATCTAGAGAAGGTTCTACAATTGCATCTGTCTAAATCTATCAGCCAGATTGTCTGTGCCCAACCAAAAGACAGTTGCATCGTTGCATCTGTCTAATGAATAGTAGTCCAATAAATGAAGTAGGAAAAAAAGGCAAAGTTAACGTTAATTACGCACTATTTTCATCTTCCGATTGGAAGTAGCTTTTGGTACCTCATTAAACATTAGACAAAGTTTGACTGGAAAACGCGTGCGATGGCGGAGAAAATGGCCCCAAAAGACCAGGAAAATAGGTTTTCAGCCAATATCGCCTAAAATATGGCAGTTAGAGATTTTCGGTTCAGATAAAAATTGAAGTTCAGTTGATTTTCTACAAAAATGGTCCTTATCATTTTTCTCGAAAATTTGCCCGGTTTAGAGAAAAACGGCACGAAACGCACCTCGAATAATGAGCTTCTGTATTGTATGCCGGAGAGCACAGTCCGTGTATTTACACATCGGCGGGGGGACAAATTATTCAATAACTTTGTTAAAAATGCATATTTTCTCATGATTCAAAGTTCATATGAAATAGGAATTCTGCTGCTATCGTACCCTGCGTGGCCGCATGGTTTGTAGCAGACGACCCGAGCGCCACGTAGAGCACACACGCGGCGAACGACGGAGGAACGAAAGTAATAAATTATAGCGTGTACATTTAGATACACTGGTTTTTTCCCGGGATATCAAAGGTATGACTTATATACATCGATGGAAAGGTGGGAATTCCCCCGTTACACTAGTTAAGGTGTTAAAATGTTAGAAATAAAGAGCACGGAGAAAAAAAACCACCGAAAAAAAAGTGCGTTTTTTCCTTGACCCCGCTTTTTCTAATTTTATTGAAAAATGGACGACTTCGTCTAAAAAAGTAATTGCACAATCGAAAAGTAGACCTTCTTAGCTTTCAAATGATGTATCATAGAAACCAATCGGATCATGTATAAATTTTTAATTGATGGTTGTTCACAAAATTTCCCCGCGCTCCAAAAACAGCAAAAAATTGGGATTCAATAAACAAAGATTAAATGAAAATTAAAAAAAAATAGGGTATAAAAATTCCAGGGATGACAAAGGATGACCTTATGAGGACCCATAATCAAGAAAATTTTGAGTAAATTAGTGCAATACAAAAAAAAATAGGAACAAATTCCTGGCGAGGTCAAAATTGACCGGGAGCAGAAAGTTTGACCCATGTTCCGATATGGCCAAAAGAGTCAAGCGTGACTCAATTCACAGGGTATGATAGCAACAGAATTCCTCTTTCACATGAACTCTGAATCATGAGAAAATATGCATTTTTAACAAAGCTCATTATTCGAGGTGCGCTTCGTGCCGTTTTTCTCAAAACCGGGCAAATTTTCGAGAAAAATGATGAGGACCATTTTTGTAGAAAATTAACTGAACTTCAATTTTTATCTGAACCGAAAATCTCTTAACTGCCATATTTTAGGAGATATTGGCTGAAAACCTATTTTTCTGGTCTTTTGAGGCCATTTTCTCCGCCATCGCACGCGTTTTCCAGTCAAACTTTGTCTCATGTTTAATGAGGTACCAAAAGCTACTTCCAACCGGAAGATGAAAATAGTGCGTAATTAATGTTAACTTTTTCCCTTTATTTATTGGACTATAGTTGTATTGCTGAATAGACATTTTTTTGTCGGTCTTATAGTAGTCAATGCTTATAGGTAAAGACAGATATATCGGTCTCGGCTCATAGGAAAGAAGAATTGTATCTGTCTTGAACACTGTTGTATCTGTTCAACAGGCAATTTCATCTCCATTGAAACTATCTAATAGATTATATAGTTGACACTACGAGAAAGGAAAAAGAAATATAATACGAAACTGTTGAACAAAAAAAACTCATCATGAATTAGTTATACCTTCCACAATATTCTGGGCCCTAGTAGTAAACATCAGTGACATAGTTCCACACAGATTCCTAACCTAATCACAAACAACCAAGACCACAGTCCAGACTTAACTGAAGAAGATTGTCAACAAAACGACATTTGTGTATAGACTAAATTTTCATACCAAGAAAAAAGATGACCTTGGAAATAATTAGTATTCTCAGTTTAACGGAAATACACTGATTGAAACACATGGCTAGTGGTAGTGGAGAAAATATACAATATACCTTGGTATTGAAGAACATTATTACTACGGGATGACTTTATTGGTCTGGGTAATAATGACATTCTTTACTATCATGGTGTTTGAATAATTATTTTCAGCTCCCCTCAGTCGAGATGCCTGTTGGATCACGGCAGTTCTGCCGGCAAGCTAGACCACAGCGCCGAGGGGGCATTGCCTGGTGAAAGATTCGATGCCAATCAACAATGTGAGTATCTTCATTGATCACCTTCCGTTCGAAAATCATTTTTGATCATTCAGGTATGTTGAAGTACGGCAGAGGTAGCAAGCATTCCAGCCAGCAAGCCCTCAACGACGTCTGCAGAGATTTGCACTGCGAGAGAGAAAGGTACACCTGGACGTCGCATCCCGCCTTGGAGGGTACCTTGTGCGGTAACAGCATGGTAACGATCACTTTGTCTAACCATTGTCATTATAAAGGCGGGGGGTTTGATTTTGTTGTTCTATTTCGCACTTCTACAAGTAGGTCAGTCGTAAGGTACTCAAAAATTAGCTGATATGGTTGTTTGGGTCGCTTTAGATAGTATTTATATATCCAGATTTGCGAATATACTCGGGTTGAGTATTATTGCCGGAAAACCGCCATATTTTTTCACTAATTTTAGTTTCATGCAATAAAAACACAAGCGGCTCTGACGAGAAATATCACTGTCACTTATTTCGATAACACAAAACTCCTGACATGTTGAGCTGTAATTCAGTTTTTTAAGTTTAATACCTCCCAAGATACAGGGTTCACAAAATTAGCTATTTTATTTATTTCAACAGTTACACCATTTCTATAAAAGAAATAATAACAAAAGATGAATAATAATAGGAGCAATGAAAATTACACTCATAGAAAAATAGCACTTAAGTCATACTTATTACATTAACTAGGTATTCATAATTATTTTCACAACATTAGTTTTGAATTTACTTAAACTGCCACAGAATAGGTCATAATGATTTTGAAGAACAACGTAGTTCCTTTGAAGCCTTGAAGTTATTGTTGCCATCATTCGTTGAGTGAAAGGTCAAGGAAAATAAGGGAGGATTTCTTGTTCTGGCCGACGTATTGAATCTAATCTAACTAAGTAGATTTGGAGAATTCGAAATATAAATTTGTGGATTATTTGACAAATATTGATATGTACAAATTAGTTATGTTATGTCCTCAACATTTGATGTATGTAGGTATACGTGTTATTCATCTTATTTATTATCATTTGTTTGTTACTCATTGTTATGCTTTTTTATGTTCTGGTTCCCACGAAAAGGGATATCCTGTAATGTTCAGAGAACATCGTGATAACCAAGGGAAATAAGGTGGGAATTGGTGTTATTCTTGAATTTCTGGAGGTTATATGCCTCGGGGAACTCCCTTGGCAATGTGTTCCAGAGCCTCGCTGTGCGTTGGATGAACGAGTCTTTGGAAAGAGATGTTCTGCAGGTCTCCGAAGTGACCACGAAGGGAGGTACAATTTTTGATATTTCAGAAGAGCACCGTCCATGAAAATATCTATAAAATAGAGCCAGATCGCCAACTTGTCTACGGTGTTCCAGGGAAGTGAGTGAGTTTGTGAGCGAGGCAGCACCCACGAGACGAATTGCCCTTTTTTGGACAGAATCCAACGGTTTCAGGGTATGTTTGGGTGCTGCACTCCAAATATGGGAACAGAATTCCAGGACACGTCGGATCTGTGTCTTATAGATCATGAGCAGCTGACTGGAAGTTAAATAGCCCCTCGCCTCTGATTACGGAAGCCATATTGCCTATCGTTGATAATACCTGAATGTTCCAGGTATTTCATGAGCTCGATGTTGATAGCTTTCTCCATGATCTTTGAAATAATAGATAGCAGTGCGATCGGTCTGGAGTTGTAAGAGTAGTTAAACAAATTGCAGAAAACAGGTGTTAGTTCGGGAGCACATTTTTTGAGAACAATCGGTGGGATTGCGTCGGAGCCACAAGCTTTGTTGGTGTTGAGACCCAATAAAATCTTCCTTATAGTACGTTGGCGAAAGGTGATCTTGGCGTTATGTTTGGAGGTTGTTTTCCCGATGAATCCAGTGTGGAATTTCCTGCAAATAAATGCGCAAAAATGTTGGCTTTCTCCTGGGCAGTTGTGGCTAGTGTTCCATCTTCCTTGGTTAGAGGAGGAAACGAGCTGGAAGTGAAGTTTCTTCCTACAGCTTTGGCGAAGGACCAAAATAAACGGGATTCGTTTGGACATTCAACAAGTTTTGATCTTATTTTGGCATTATGAGCATCCTTTGATGATCAAATTGTCTCATTGCATATGCCTCAAGCCTCGACATATTCTGCTCTAGTCTCAGGGCCTGGATTTTTCTGCCATCGATGGAATGCTGCCTGTTTGGAAGCGACAGCTCTAAAGCAGTCTTCGGTATGTAGGTTTGCATCCCCAACATGATGATTTAAGAGTGATGGCGAAGGCCTCAGTTTGACGACCTGCATCATCTGTTTTGTTATAGAATTTGAGCCAGGCTGCGTTGTGTACATTGAAGTCTCCCATGAATATGATTTCAGCTGTGTATGTTAGTATGTAATTTTTTGACGAATCCAATATTATTGTACAATAGCTTATGGAGTAATCATAATGATGATGATGTACGCGTTATACCTCCAGTTCACTTTCACCACACTCGAATCGTCTTTCAGTGGTGCCGGGGCGGCCAGTGCCTGCCCAAAGGCTACGCCCCTTCGGCTGCGTACACCTCCGCCCGACGCCAACCGATGTCCAATCGTCTGGGCGAGATCGACGGCGGCTGGGGCCCGTGGAGGCACTCGGGAGAGTGCGCCTCAGGCTGTCTGTTCGGCGAGGAAGGCAGGCTGCGCACGGGCAGCACGGGAGTCGAGGTGGCCGAGCGGGTGTGCAATAATCCCAGGTGAGAATGTCTTCATTATACCAGATTTTTTTGGATTTTATCTCCTCGTTTCTATAAAATAAAAATATGAATATTATTTCAATATATATGTGGAAAGGACTGTTGCAGATCGAATAACTCGATTGTAAAGAGGGAAAAATGGACTGATAACCCTGGTACTTTCAGTTAAGTGGTTATGTGATTCAGCAAGCATTAAGAACGATCTACACTAACAAACTTACCCAATGATGATCAGCAAGCCGCCGTGCCTAGGTGTTGGACGGGCCCTTTCGGAGCTCTGTTGTTGCCAGAAGAATCAAGCCCATTTTATCTTTGATTACTTGTATGAACAAGTGTTGGGATCCTCCATAAAGCCCCCTTTGGGCCTTGGGCAATTTGCCTCCATTGTAACAATGTAAATTGTACTATGTAATATTATTTTGACCTCCTTTTTTTCACTTCCACAAATTGTCATTTGAAATATGCTTCTGCTGAAGATGGACTATTGATAATCCAAAACATGTTCAGACACTGATTATTCAGTTTGTAAATTTGTGGAGATGACTTAGTGTGTCTTGTTTATGAATAATTTATAGTTACGGACCTTGTTGTCTCATTGACTTTCGTTTTTGAATCAAGTTTCTAGCTATTCCCGATAGAAAATAAGCGTATAGGAGTTCTTGAAAGCTGTCAAAGCAGCATGTTTACTTTGTTTTTATTGGTTCACATTTGTTTTTTGTTTGTGCTCATTGGTCATATCATCAAAACAAACCGCTCAGAAGTGTTCAAGTTGCTGCCGTCAGGCAGGGCGACAACAATCGAGCTCTTACGCACTAATGCCCCACTCTGATGTATATTAGTATTAGGTCTGAAGTAACTACTATTTTCTGTTGAACATAAAATGTTTCAGGCCTCAAGGGGCTGGCAGCGAATGTGAAGGCCACTCTAAACGATACACGTCTTGTGTTGCTCAGCAATGCCAGAACGTACCCAGACTGACCATACGAGAATTCGCCGACCAGATTTGCAGAAGGGCCAAAGAGATCGACCCGGACCTGAGTGGATCGGGCATGCAGAAAATCAGCTCCGACCGTAAGGCACAAATCGGGATGTTCGTTATGATTATTATTTATTGGGTTTTTCTTTGCAGCGGAAGAAGCTTGCTTGGTTTGGTGCCAAAAGACAAATGGCAGCCCCAAGAGTCGTGGTTGGACCTTTCCCGATGGCACGGCCTGTCAGATCAGGAGGAATCGATATGGAAAGGCTAGCTATTGCATCAAAGGTGACTATTCTCATTCATATTTCTTTCTCTCAACATTGACACGACTGAAAGGAGAGTTTTGAAAACACAATGAAAAAGTGTCTCAAAGCAAGGCAAGATCAAAATTGGAGTTCTAAGAAGAATGGAACAATTGAACAATATCAGAATTCATTGAAAAACCTTATCTCTTTTTCAGCACTCTATTGTGTATTATTTAATAAATCTATGTTTCGTTCTGAACATACATAAAGTTAAGCTATTTCGGTGTAATTTTATACAAGTTTATTGAACTATTCGATGTATGGAAATTCTCGGGGAGTCTCAGCCTCCTTTGCTTCCTCTGAGAAGCCGCAACTACAAACAACCCCTGATCGATCATCATCGTCATCATCTTTATTATTCCCAAGAAACAATTGACTTATTTGTTTATAACAGGGAACATTCAAAAACAAACCATAATGTATTAGGTACATTACATTCAAAATATAGTATTTATAGGTATAATATAATAATTCTAGTAATTCTCATAGTTTGAGCTGATCCTTGTTTGAGTGAATGAATGATTAAGATAATTGATATGTTATATGATCTCAATATGGATGACATGACAAAATTCAGAGGAATAAATATTTGTTCAGTTCTTTCTTGAATTTTTTGGTATTGATATTTTTCTAAGTCTTGTTGGCAATCCATTCTAAAGTAATAATCGATAAACTTCCTCTTCGATTCCCCGCAGGCAGGTGCGAAGAGTTCGTGTGCGACCCCGCCGAAGAAGCCGCCCACGCCCTGTCGCCCGACCGGTGCCCGGGCGCAGGCCCCGACCGCGTCGACGACAACGAGGTGGGCGGGGCGACAACAGGTTGGGGCGGGGCGGGCCTGCGCGGACGCGAGGGCGCGCAGCGGTGGAAGAGCGCCAGCGGCTGCCACTACAACTGCGTGTCGCCCGGGGCGGGCGTGCGACTGGTGCGCGCGCAGCGGAAGGGCGGCCGGGCGAGCATCCAGCTCTGCCGGCCCGAGCAGTTCGTGAGTACGGGGTATTCCCATACAGCACATGTACAGTTGGGTGCATAAACAAGTCGTACTAGGTTTGTATGGTGTAAACCTGCCTATGATGTTCCAGATTTCATTAAAAAGTAGTACATGTACACATTTGCGCGTTAAGGCTGTATGACACCTGTTAAATTTGATGACAAATATGTAACAAAAATGTTAACAAACATATTTTCTATGTTCCATACAGTATAAATATTTATAATATCAAAATATTTAGAACCAGTCCTATATTTTTAGATATTGATCAAGATTGACAAGTCTGGCTCACTATAGCCTATAACTACTGTACTACTTGTTTATGCGCACAACTGTTAGTACTATGGACGTTGAATATGGATGTTCAGGACACCATATTTAGTGAAATGAATGTCCAGAAAACCCCCAAATAACAATCACTGTGGACATTTTCTAGACGTCCAATGTACATCCATTCTATATCTATCCATTCTATATATCTCAATGAATCTAGAAGATACAGATTATACAAGGTATCCTGCGAAAAACTTTGGAAAAAATGACAATTCACAAGAAACTGGGTCAGAAGTTATTTTTATATTCGAGGTATTTCACTTATCCGACAAATTTCAACCACATATACAGTGTTAAATAGGAAGTAGATCACACAAAAAAGTCTATCAAAGTTCAATAGAAAGCGAGATGGAAAATTAAAATGTATAACACTTTTTTTTCTACAAAAGCTCTGCAAAATGGCTCCTATCTCGATCTGAATCAGATTCACCACCTTGCAACAGTCGCACATTCATAGTATTTATTCAGAGGTTTTCTAGAACATATCTTATACTCACCAGTAGTTAAAAGTGTACTAATATCTTATCCTCGATGATAAAACGGAATTGAACTAATAAGATTGAAAAACGGTATGTTACTATCCCAGTAATTACGAAATCACGGGGGCTACCTGTCAAGGGTTGTCGGTCGAATTTCCAAACACCCTGTATGTTAGGTATGTCTACCCAACCGTGAAAGACACAAACCGCCAAGTTAATGTTCGTCATGGTTGAGTTCACATGTTCCCCTTAATCTCATATCACTAAACTATACAGAGGGCTATATGGAATAGGTCCATTATCTTTATTCATTACTCTATTACTATTCTAATTTGAGTTTATTAATATTTGTGTTATGATTGTGATTGAACATGTGTTCGGCTACACACGATTTTTCTAACCTACCATATTTCATATGTGCTTGGTGTTCTTTGAACCTTGTGTTTATGGGTCGCCTGGTTTGGCCTATATGTTTTAACAGTTGTAATGATTATGGTGAAACATCCCTTACTCCCCATGAATAACTATTCCTATGAACTTGATTTGAGCTTGAAAATGTGTTATTATATCTAAGGTTCAAACACAGTAAAATCAGTAGGAACATACAATAATTTCAAAACTGACCAATAGTGAGATTGTTCTCCCTTTAGGAAGTCCCTCAAACTTGCACCAAAACTAAAGGTCATAATAAAAAAACGCAATAATATCAGTTTCCTGGCAGGATTGTACTGGAAGGTTGTTGAAACAATATTTATCACTTTCAGGGATGCAGTCGGGTAAAGACCTCTTTTCAACATGCCTCCATGGTCTGTTCCAAATACAAAGAGAGGGTGAGAAGGCTGTCTGGTTTGGGAATGCAAATCCTGCCAGCTGTAGGTAAGCACTGTTCATTTCAATTTTTGCTTGTGATTCCAGAATGTTGAACCCATAGATTGGTGATAGTCACGACAAAATATAAAAACAACTACTTTCCTGGCTGATGCCACGCAGAACATTGAATTATATCCTCCCGAAATCTATGCATCGACTCCTATGAACGAATACTGATACAAGTGATTCTTTCCTGAATACCTATTGATTTCGATTCAGCCAGGCCACGCTAGACACCTACACCTACCGGTTTCGAGCTCTTTGACTCTTATCAGTGCAGGGCAGTCTCCAGCCAGCAGTCCTAAGACCGCCGATAAGCGTAGCCTAGCAATACAAAAATCAAGTCGGCATTATATTCCCCCAGAGGCGTCTTTCATAGACATTTGAGTCGAATAGAAGGAAAGAAACACTCCAAAACTGGAATTCCCATACGGGAGTGACTGGTTGCCCGACTGGCGTAAATTTCAACTACGAAATAGTGGAATGAAATGATGATTAAAGACTACCGAAGGTAGTCTCGTAATATTATTATTATGATGTGCGTTTTTTGTTTCAGAGGATCCGGACAGGCCATGCAGAATCGCTTGTCAGGATGATTTCATCTCGCACAGGTTTTATTTAGTCAATGGAGAAGATGGTTGGTTCCCGTTTGGCACGGACTGTTCAAGGGGCAGCACAGACAAAAAGGCCTATTGCGTTAGCGGAAAATGTTTGGTGAGCCATTTATAGCAAAATTTAACAACTATCAATAATAACGTTTTAGTTTTAACTTTTTTCCGAGATATGAATCATTAGGATCCATTAGAATAGTTTAATACTGCATTTTTTCATAACCTGTTGCAATTTGATATGTTCAACTGGACCATAAACTCAAATTTTACAGAATTTAGGATTGTCATTTATTTTCCCAAAGTGATTTTAGTGAATGCGACCCATATTTACAGGTTTTGAATATTAAAAATTTCAGTGAGAATGAAGTCTTAACGGCTTTGAAGCAGATAAAGCCAAAAATGACAACTCTCTCTGACAGCATTCCTGCAATTCTAATAAGAGATTGTGCCTATGTCCTTACTCCTCCATTAACGATATTAATTATGGAAGTTATCTGAAGTACGTCCAATACACAAGAAAGGGGACAAATTTAATATTGGCAACTTCAGACCCATATCGATAATCTGCAATGTTGCCAAAGTTTTCGAAATCCTTCTCTATAATAGATTATATCACCATCTCAGTAGCCAAATCACACTGCTTCAACATGGTTTTATGAAAGGTCGCTCAACAATCACTAATCTATTTGATATAGCTCAATATATCTCTGAGAGTATCGATAGACGATCTCAGGTTGATGTCATATATACGGACTTCTCGAAGGCGTTTGACAGACTTGATCATGGGCTACTTTTATCGAAATTATACAATTACGGACCTAATCTCGGTACGGACTATCACTCACTGGCACTAATCCAACTCTCTGCATCATATCTCACTGACAGGCGTCAATATGTTATATTCAATGGTTTCAAATCTATTGAATATCCAGCTACCTCCGGTGTCCCACAAGGCAGCAACTTAGGGCCGCTTCTTTTCAACGCATTCATCAATGATTTGATCGATATAATCGATGTCAATTGTTTGTTGTATTCATATGATTTAGAGATATATTGTGAAATAAATGAAATCGAGGATTGTGAGCGATTTTTTCTCAATTTAAAAAGCGTTGAACAATGGTGCTCCCGTAACAAAAAATGTAATGACATATTCACAAAAAAAACAGTTCATTCTATTTCAATATAACATAAATGATACTCCTCTTCAACGGCCATCCATGTTTACCGACCTCGGTGTAACTTTTGACCCTAAACTTTCTTTCGCGCCACATATTGAAGCTACTTTGTCGGCCGCAATCGGGATGTACGGATTCATAGCGCGGATTTCCGAAGATTTTTCTGATCCAGCCACATCAAAAACGCTATACTTTGCCTTTGTTAGATCAAAACTGGAATATACTTCTTCAATTTGGAACTCATCTCATCGCAGTCAGATATAGAGAAAGTTGAATCAGTTCAGCGCCGTTTCCTAAAACTTCTTTCCTATAGATCCGATAACGTCTATCCACAAATTGGTTTTCCACACGATATAATATTACTTGCTAGACATGCCATGAAAAGCCTGTGCTGCCGTCGTGATTGTCAATACACAGTGTTTCTATTCAAAATAATTAATAATATTATCAGTAACCCATACATTTTAGAAAAGCTTAGTTTCACCATTGTCGATCTAAATGAAAACCTAGTAGGCGACCTAGTACGCGAGGAGGTACAATATTGTCTGTTCTTTGAATCAAAATCTGTCTGCCTGTCAAGTGGCGCTGGCATCCTGAAAATGGAAAAAGCTCATTTGTTTCTGTCAAAATAGACCATATTAGGTTGATATTCTCTTCTTCTATTTTTCTCCAATATGTACTCAACCACAGACGTGCTTTCCATCATTGACGTGATATTTGATAGGAAGACGATGGAGAAGATTCATGTAATCATAAAATCACTTTCTGACAGTCGTCATTAACTTATAACTTCGTCTTTGTGGATGTGTTGAACTTTGATTTCCTTTCTTGAAAATAACAATTATACCTATACCTAATCATTTCTTCTAGTATTGGTTCTCTATCAGAGTTTGTTGATTGGTTTGTGAGTGCGATTGTGTTATTTTGCAATGTCATCTGAAAACTGCGCACTCCAGGAGGTGAAGGTGTAATTGAATTATCAAGACATGGTTTCCCCGATCCCCACTGTTGTGAATTTGAGCCTCAAATCCTGAGGCGTCAATGGGTTCACGCCATATTCATTGGATATCAAGGTGAACTTTTTTTCTTGAATCACATAATATTTGGAACTTGATGATATTTATATTCCAGGAATTTGAGTTTTTGAAGTAAGCGAACATGATACTATATGTTTCCAACATTTTAAGGGAACTGTTTCTTGCCAATGAAGAATAGGAAACGGTTTTGGAAAGAGAGTACGGTCCCAAGTTTGTTCAAGGTAGAAATATATAAATAAAATGGTATTTAACAAATTTGTACCTATACTAACTAACTAATTATTAGTTTCGGTATGAAATTCACCAAGAACTTGACTTTGGTTCCTCTAAAAGTTGTTCCATAGTCAAAAGTCATTAAATTCATTTCAGAATGGTACAGGACATTGAAACTAGGGACAATATTTTTATATTTTCAGACTCGGCAATGTTGTTTGGAATATTATGATGCTGAAGAGGAATTCCTGCCTTAAGGAACAGGACCTGACGATGAAGAAGCATCTGAGGAGGAAACGGGCATTTGAACAGATATTATAGAATAATAAATAATAATAAAGTTCATTCAAAATGTTGACTCAAATATAAATTAAAAAGATACATATTGGTATTGAATATTCCTGTGGTTTAATTTGTGCCAATAATAGACACATCTTCTCATATTTAGTGAAGTTCGTAGCTTCAATAAGATGATTTAATAAAAAATAATCATTGTTTTACTTCAAAAATACTTTACCTATATACAATATTTGTACAATATATATAGTGTTTTCAAACTTATCTGCCAATACATCTGTACAACAATAAACATCAGGGTATCAGAAGAGAACAAACTATATAGTAGAATAAAAATTGAAATAATTCTTCATAATTATGTACAATTTATTAAAAAAATTGAATTGTATTGCCATTCATACAATACATACAAGTTATATTCCAATAAAAAATTCTTAATATCCCAGCATCTTGACAAAGAACCCTGAACAATAGAATACCATATATCTGAGGATGATTCCTATACAATCTTGAAATCACTTTACTCTAGTGAAATTTTGAGTGGCTCACTACGAAAATGGTCCTGAGTGTGCTGGAGTGGAATATCACATGTTCCTCATCATCTAATTGATTGCTTGAAAAATGGATAAATATGAATATACATTGGGGTGTGTATAATTTGTAGCCTAAAATGAAATGCCTGGCTATTTCCAGCAAACAAATCGTTGTTCTTACTGCTTATCTGGATTCAGCTCATCGAACTACAGGATGAAAAGTTTCTGATTTTATTCACTGCCCCATTTTCTTGTGTGTTTTTTCATAAAATCTTGTGAACTGGATATTTTTGCAGCTCGACTTTCATGGAGGTACCTATCTATAAAAAATATAATGATATTTTGTGTTTGGAGCAGAATATCCATGAGACATTGATGAAATAACCAGATTGAGTCTAACCTTAGTGCTTCTATATATTTATTTCAGATGGTAAATTTTCCATTCTGTTCTGGAACATCATCATCCTTCTGGTACATTCCTTCTGAACATTACTCACATAATGATTTCTAATGTGATACTTCCACATCACTCATAGTTTTCCGTTTTTCAACTGAAAAGCTATTAATGTAAGTACTCTTCGCTGTAGGTAGGTAGGTACCTGAAATTTTCAAGTATATAGTGATTCCGATGTGTACATGGTTTACATCACTAAAGACATGTTTTTACTGCAAATGATGGAATTTCACGAATTATAGAGTAACTTATCAAAAATATAGAAGGAAAAAAGCAGCCCCTACCTTTCTGCTTGGCTTGCATGTCGAAAAAGTGTAATAGCACTATTGAGTTTCCGAAGTTTCCACAGTTCCAACTTAAATTCAAGTTGCATCATGAATCATACTAATACAGCATTGCCTAAACATCTTCCTGCTTCCATTCAAGTATAGGTAGATGGTTTTCATACTTGATAATATCCTTCGTGATAATGTTTCATTTTCGGGATTCCACATGACAGATTTTTATTTACAAACTTGACAGGACCATGAAAAATGTTACGGTTAGGTCTGACAAATGAATAACTTAGTTTACTTGGTTCACATTGATGTCTCTGTACTACTGAACGCCTTCATTTATTTTTTCAAAGAACAGACAATATTATGCTCTCGCCTACTAACTACCTAACTAGGTTTCCATTTAGATCGACAATGGTTTCACTGTGCCTAGGCAAAACTCTAGAGTGGTCAATACATTTTATCTCCCGACACCACGAACAAATATTTTGAAATACTCGCCTCTCCATTACATGTGTCCGAGTACAATAACACACAGCTAGACAAGCAACAGCAACAGACAGAGCAACAATAAATTAATAAATAAATAAAAAAATAATAAATACATTTTCCTTAGGAATTTGGCCCCGATGATACTCCTCTGTCAGAAAGCGAGTTTACTCTACCCCTGCTGTCAAGATCTCGTCGATCTGTGTACAGCAATGGCACCAGAATTCTGGCCAAATTGAATCAGATGGAGCTGGACAACATCATCCGAGATTTCCACAGAACGTTATCGGGTAAATTACTTTACCAGCAAACAACAGGAAAACATTGTGACCATTTTTTTTACAGGTAATTACACTGGTCCAAAATTCGATATTGACTTCCAGAATCCGATACATATCAGTATGGACGTGGAACGGACACATAATTTACCGAAACAGATGCAGAATAATGTCGAGGATTATGTGAATTTTGCTTGAGAATATTTTTTTCTTTCAGCCAGGTGATTTGTATCCTAATAAAATTTTGTAACGAAACATTTTCCATATAGTGGGAGAGCCGGTTGCAAACTTCGACACTGGTCCATCGGATATTATCTTTTGGCAGGGGCGAAATATTCTCGGATATATTGACGCTCTGCCACTAACTTAGATCAGTTTTAATTGCGGCACGTTTGGATATTCGTACAATACAGGAAAGTGCAATTTTTCAATCATTTTGTTCAGGATAGAGATTGGCATAGGTGCCGTTCGACAAAATACAATGTTTTTACATGCCATTGGGACATACAGTAAGGACGTAAAAAGTCCTCCCCATCCCTTGAACCTCTGAACGGAACAAGCTAGCGAGGTCGGGTGAAATTCAGGCAAAAAGGTACCTCTTTCACTACTATTTGGCATTAAAATGGTTGTGGTCACGTGACCTAGTGTCTAGTGGGCACCATCAACTTTTTTTTTCCATATATAAAGAGGGGTCACGTGGTACCTTGTTTTGAAGGCCTTTCGACTCTATCGTCTATCGGCTTCGTTTCGGCCAAGCCGTTTTAAAATGACAAGCGTTTGAAATTTGCTTCAAATATTGATATTAATGAATAAAAAACCTGAATAACTTCTAATTGCAACAGAATTTCAAGTAGGAATTGTAACAAGTACTCAAACATGCTCGAAATGTTCATCGTTCACTTATTGACACGAAAAAATCGGTTTTGGAATTCAATCCGAACGTGATTTACTGTTTCCGAGGTACATTTCAAACGCTAGTCATTTTGAAACGACTTGACCGATTTGCACAAACAAAGTGGAGTTGGATAGAGAATCGAAAGGCCTTCAAAACAAGGTATCACGTGACCCCTCTTCATATTTGAAAAAACAAGTTGATGGTGCCCACTTAACACTAGGTCACGTGACCATAACCATTTTCATGCCAAATAGTAGTAAAAGAGGTACCTTTTTGCCTGAAATATACCCGACCTCGCTAGCTTGTTCCGTTAAATGGTTAAAGGGGGGGAGGACTTTTTACGTCCTCACTGTATATCATCTCGTTATCAGATGACGGTCGTTTGCAGCCGGCTCTTGGACTAATAGTTTATTGCTATTTCCTTCCTAATTTGTGTACATATTGTCACAAATTGAATGATATATCGATAAGTATCTGGATCAACATAAAAATGTTGGGTTGATCGCCTTGAGTGGGCCACCTGGTATATAAATTCTATTCATCTGTGTCTGTCATCCACCAAAAAGTCTAGATGACATCGGTTTTCAAAATGACGACTAATGAGGACACTTTCAGTGTATCGGAAAAATTAGATATTTCCCAGATATTCGTCCCCGAGATACCAGAAGATATAATCTTTCCTAATGAACTCAATGCATATTTGAGGGACCAGATACAGGTAGATGAAAAATTCAAATATCCATGTTCAGATCTTCAAAACGGAAATTTTTTTCCTAGTATTACGTTCACGAAAATGGGAGGCTCAAGAAAAATTTATCGGACCTGGAGGCGGATTGCGCAAAATGTAATACCAAGATCACAGATCTGGAACGCAGGCTGGTAGACTACGAGGCATTACGAGGCAAAGATGAGTTGGTCACTTCTAGCCAAGTGGCCAGCACAAAAATCGTGGAACTCAGCAAAAAACTCAGAGAAAAAAACGTGCAGTTCGAGTCCATGCGCACAAAATATTCCAAGCTAGAAAAGTATCTCTACGATTTGAATAGAGAAAGAGAAAATAACGTGACGAAATGTGATTTATCAATCAATGATTAAGTGAGTATTCTGAACTATAAAAAAAATTAAGTTGTAGAAACTGCGGAAAGGCCTGTCAACGAACTAGAAGAGCAGATCAAGAAGTTGAACGAAAAACTGAATGTAGTTACAAACAAGCTATCTGAAACGAAAAACGCCAATTTGCAATTGAAGAATGATTTGAAACTTGCCAACAAGTGGCTACAACAAGAAATTGGTGAAAATTTTGAAAACATCCAGTCTCTAAACACAACCAATGGAAATTGGAGGGGCAGATCTCAGATTATATGCGATTTACAACAGAAAAATAACGATCTGAAAGAAAAACTCAAAACTGCACATGAAAAGAGTAAGAAAAAATCTAAATTAACAATTCCTCCACGAGTGGAAAATGAAACATGAAACTCCAAAATATTGCGCTTGAACATATACATGGCGATTCATTTTTTCAGGACCAAACTTGCAGATTATTGAGCAAAAAGGTAGGGTGTTTATATAATGTTATGAAAAATATATAGAACATCTAATCATCTAGATAATGTTTCTAGCTGATACTGGCTAAGATGCCATGTTTTCGAAAATAAATGGAAAAACATGATTATTCTATAGAGTTCGAATTTATACAGGCTGATTCACGGTGGATGGCACATTTAGACGTTTATGGAGGACGCAACGTTGGATTATAATGAAAATTTGGTTTCTTGGATAATTAGTTGTGTTCTATCGACCTAAAATATTCTCAACACTGCGACGTTGCCGCTTATATTGAAAAGTAGCAACATCTTTGATTTTTTGAATGGGATACCCAAATGGGATATATTATTCCATTTTCAGATTCTTCCTAAAGAGCTGATTTCATCGATCTATTTCACTTGGGGTCTAGCGGGAATGATAACAAAGATATAGGCTGTGAAAAATCGAGATTTTTCAACTTCAATGATTTCTTGTGTCGAAACTATTCATAATTAGTTAAAACGGTTTTCATCTCCCCATCTCAACTTTTCATGTACTATCAATTGATATTTAATTGAATTAGATACAGGGTGGTTGAAAATCTTAATTCTGAACCACCCTGTACCTATTTCGATTAAATATCGATTGATAGTAAATAAAAAGTTGAGATAGGGACATGGAAACCGTTTTGACCAATTATGAATAGTTTCGACACTAAAAAATCTCAAATTTGAAAAATCTCGATTTTTCACATCCTATATCTCTGTAATTGTCACTGCTTATAGGTCAATAAAATCAACTCTTCAGGGAGAATCTGAAAATGGAATAATAAACAGGGTGTCCCATTTGAAAAACCAAAGTTGTTGCTATTTTCCAATATAAGCGGCAACGTTGCAGCGCTGAGAATACTTTAGGTCGATAGAGCAGAACTAATTTTCCAAGGCACCAAATTTTCAGAATAATCCCAAGTTACGTTCTCCAGAATCGTCTAACGTGCCTTCCACCGTGAATCAGCCTGTATATTGATTACATTAGTAGGTGACCAGAATAAAAAAATGAAAACTTGTAGGGCAATCATAAAAGATCTATGAATATTTTATTGAAATTATTCAAAAAAATCAACCGTTTTTGGACATATTTAAAAAAATGTATATCGCCACTTCGAAGTTGCAAACGTTCTGCCCAAAAGTTGAAACTCATGCATGTGCATGGCTAGGAACAGCGGGGCCTACAGCTTGTAGTGGATCCGAAACACACAACCGCGAATCATACATTTTTATGAAAAATGTTGATCCGATAGACATGTTTGAACCGACAACACTGTAGCATATCGGCTGTTTAGCGAGGCTACTGCGAAAATATAATTCGCAGAAAAGCAGCATTCTCAGGAAGTTTGAACCTCAAAAAATTATTCACCATGTAGAAGAAATGAAAGCCTTGTTCTTTCATTGCCACCACATCATTTCAAGTGACTTCCCGAATATTTACAGTTAACAGCTCATGCACTTTGGAGCAGACAGTTGTAACAACGAAGAGTGACAGCAGGCTGAGCATTTTATCTAAGGAAAACTCTGACCTGAGAGAAAAATACGAAATTCTGAAGAAGAAAAACGAGGCACTGAAAGCTAGATGTAAAGTCTTAGATTCCGAGCACACCCTGTACAAATCCAAATTCGGCATGATGAAGGAACAGGCTGACAGAGATCAAGACATGATTTCCACGTTAACAGTTGGTTTTTCGTAAAGTAAAGTTGTTTTAGAGGTCTAGATGAAAAGCTGTTGTTCTTGTCAGGTACAGATGGTTTCGTTAAAAACGGGAGGAAGCGATGAGCTCATGCAAAAACAGCGTGTCATCAACAAACTGCAGAACGAGAAGAGGCAACTGTTACAAGAAATCGAGGAATATAAATTGGCGATTAGGAATTCTCGAGAAAAAATTGTTGAAAAACAGGTAGCTAGCGAAAATGATGGAAAATCTGATGATAGTTCACAATCGACTGAAACACATCAGAAAGAAGTAAGTAAAAGTTCCACATTTTCTTATAAAAATTAGATTAGTGGATACTACAGAGGCGCTTTTATGTATACAATAAAAATGGGCGAGTGGACTGATACCTAATAAATTATTGGCATTCATTTACTCCACTGTGTCCTTAGGGACCTAAATTAATTTTTACAACATTTCTCATGCTCTCATTATGCAAATAATGAGTCTATGCGATGTTCAAAATTGTTGTATTTCAGAGTTCCTTCCAAACGTACCGTCATCGCCGCCACTTGGCGATACGTTGAATAAATGGTGACGTCAGTTTTTATGCTGTTTCGTTATTGGTCAGATAATCCCCCATTTCCACTCATGCAGCAAGGTTGTCAAGTCACCAATAATAATCAATTTATCAAGAAGATTGAAGTCATGTTGTTGAATAAAACACGAGATGAAACATAATATGGGGAAGCCATGATATTATAGTTCATTCTTGATTATTTTGAGCAACCAGCATGTCCAAATATCTCTTATAAACCATCACAAAATATCATATTGATGGTGAAGACTTGGCAACAATGTGCTGAATGCTGAGATTCGACAAGGCACCGCCCACCATTCGTGCGCCCTGGAGTGCGCCGTGTTGTCACGTTATTTACCCTCAAATGTCCTCTAGTGTGAATCAATATAATGATTTTATTATTAACACAAATGTATTTTAAGCGATAAGCCACAACAGAGGAGGAAATATTCTGAAACAATTGATTTTTTATGTCTAATTATGAATATAACCTATACAAAAATGAAAATTGAATATTGCAAAAATATCTGAAATCCGCCCAATAACATTTAGCCGTTTTTTAGGTTTTCAATCATTATTCATGACATGACAATAACTTAGCTTGTCCTTTCTTTATCGTTACTCAAAATGTAGGGCAACAATGAAGAAACTGAGTCCAAAGTGGAAAAACTACTGAAAATAATCGCAGAGCAGAATGACCGTTTGAAAATGGAACGCGAAGCTCACGCAAAAACCCAGTCTCAGCTCGTAACAGAAAAGCAGAAGGCCGTGAAAGCAGAGGCGATAGTGGCGAAAATTCACTTGGAGGAGACTTCCAGGTCGAGCTACGGCTCGATGACTTCTGCGTTGAGGCCGCTGGATAGCTGTCTGAAAGACAAATTGGAGCTGGCTGAGGAACGTCTGAAGGCTATGAAAACGAGGCTGGACATCGAGCAGTTCGAGCGCAAGAACGATTTCATCGAGTTTTCCGACATCTTGCGCAGGTGCAAAAATGATTGTTAGCATCAACTTAGAATAAATGAATAATGAAACATCAAGGCTCCTATTGATTGTCTTTATTGCTCCAAAAAACATTATTATCGTTTATAATAGGGATATACCCGTGGTCCATTTAAGACTAGCCACCCTCGATATCTCTCAGAAAAATAATTTTACAATAACGAAATAACGAAACACGTCGATTTTTATTTGGAGGGGGGACATCGTTTGACGCAAAATGAATAATCCATACCCCAACCCTCTTCTCTCCAGACCAACCCCCTTAATAACTTGAATAGGCAATAAGGGTCGTGTTATACATCTTTGCGAAGGTATAATTAAATTTTGACACTAGCAATGCAGTTTTTTGAATTCCAACGAGGCGTTCTCAACTTTGAGTCACTCTGTAGTTACATGTTACATACTAGTTAAAACAATGAATTACCTTTAATTACCTTTACTATCGATTTCAAATAAACCGTGTGGTGGTCGGATTAGAATAACCCCACGGTAAGTCCTGCCTGTCGTAGAAGGCGACTAAAAGGACGCCATTAGGTGGAAGATGGTTAACGCCATCGCCCGGTGCGATACCACCACATCAACCATAGGCACTGTGAAATGGGTATACTTACCCGTGTTTCAGTAGCTGGTTGATGTTCCGGCCAACCCAACCCAACCCAATTTCCTTTTCCTTCCACGCCAACCTCCCTTCTTTATACAGAATACACGATGATGAGTTCTCCTCAAGTAAAATTATCCGGAAGTAAAATACCTCTCCATTCGGATTTCCGGGCGAGAGGTGCTAGAGGGGGTTCACCATCGGCTGAAAAAGTCCTCTAGATAGACCTATTTTACATCTGTGGTATAAGAAAGAACACCATCGATGTCCATCGACATCTTCATACAGAAAAGCCAGATATATTGGCCCTGACTGAGACACAGGTCAATTCATCCACCAATACGACCTATCTGCTCTGTCCTGGGTACGAACTCCACACACGTTTCAGATTTAAGGGAGGTCTCTGCCTCTACTCTAGAACGAATCTCTCATGTCAACGAGAAAAAACCTTGGAACCAAATAAGTTTGATGTCATGTGGTTCAAACTCGATAGCCAGAAACAGACCAAATACCTTTGTTGTCTCTACTTATCACCAAATGATCCATCCTATGGAGAGCTCTTCGAATTCTTGTCTCTGAAGCTTGACCAAATTCAACAGAACCATCCAGCAGCAGAAATCATCATCATGGGCGATTTCAATGTACACAACACTGCTTGGCTCGTACACTCTAACAGAACGGATGAAGCTGGGCGACAAGCCGAAGCTTTCGCCATCACTCACGGCTTAGAACAGCTTATCAAAGAACCCACACGAATTCCCGATGCCAATAACCATTCAGCTAACATACTTGACTTATTCCTCACGAATAATTCAGCACCCTACACCATAGATGTACGAGCTCCACTTGGCAATTCTGACCACACACTCATCTCCACAACCTGCCCATTTTTCATTCCATCAACTGCTCCGGCACCCTCACGTCTTATATGGCATTACAATTCAGGGGATTGGGACGGTCTCCGCATGTTTTTCTCCGAGTTTCCTTGGCATAGAGTATGCTTTGACTCTGATGAGGACCCTTCACAGTGTGCTGCGGAAGTATCCGAGATCATCATGCTCGGAATGGAAACATACATACCTCATTTTTCGAAAAGATCATCACCTTCGAAACCCTGGTTCAACAAAAGCTGTTCTAGAACTGTTGCCTTGAAACAAACAGCCTACCATCGCTGGCGCAAAAACCCTAACCTCGCGACTAGAGCAGAATACGTTGATGCCAGGAATAACTGCAGCCAAACAATAGATGCTTCGAAAGAAACATACAATGCCAAGATCAGATCGAAACTCATAGATTGTCCCAATGGCTCCCGTTCGTTTTGGTCCCTTGCTAAAGCGGTCGGAAGAAATTTCACTAACAGTTCATTTCCACCACTGTCCAAATCCGACGGCACATTAGCAACAACATCGCAGGAGAAAGCGAATATTTTTGCAGAAATTTTCGCAGCAAACTCTACTTTAGATTCCCAAGGAAGAGTGCCGCCAGACATTCCACCCGTTGAGAGTCGAATGCCCGAAATCGTCTTCCGTCAACGCACTATCAGACGAATTTTGCTCGGTCTCAAAACGAATAGGGCTAACGGTCCTGATGGAACTCCACCCATTATCCTCAAAAAATGTGCACCAGAATTAACACCGATTCTCTGCAAGTTGTTCACCATCTCGTACAGGTCGGGTATTTTTCCATCATGCTGGAAGACAGCTAGAGTCCAACCAATCCCCAAAAAAGGGAACAAGAACCTGCCCAACAACTACAGGCCCATTGCCCTGTTATCAGTAATCTCCAAAGTGATGGAGAAAGCCATCAATATTGAGCTTATCAAATATCTGGAGAGCTCAGGAATCATCAATGATAGACAATACGGCTTTCGCCACCGAAGATCTACTGGAGATCTACTTGCCTACGTCACCCATTTATGGCAATCTTCAATAGAAAAACACGGGGAATCTCTAGCTGTCGCGTTGGACATATCGAAAGCATTCGACCGTGTTTGGCACGAAGGACTCCTCCACAAACTACCATCATACGGCTTACCACCTCAGCTATGCCATCTCTTATCGAGTTTTCTTTCAGGCAGATCGCTTCACGTGGTGGTGGACGGTGTATCGTCTGATACCATTGGCATCAATTCCGGCGTTCCACAAGGATCAATTTTGGCACCAACATTATTCCTGCTTCATATCAATGATCTGTTGGGAGTAACAACTTGCCCCATCCACAGCTTTGCAGATGATAGTACCCTCCATACTGCTTTCTCTTCCAGAATTCCCATTTCTTCCCAGGAAACTAAGACCTCACGGCGCAGGCAGGTCAATGCTGTCAATGAAGATCTTGCTGAAATCACAGCCTGGGGAACAAACAACCTAGTTGAATTCAACGCCACCAAAACTCAAGCCTGCATTTTCTCTAGAAAGGCGGAACTCAGTATGCCCGATATTGTAATGTCTGGCTCCACCATCCCCACCAAGCCCACCATATCTATGCTCGGTATTTCCATCAGCAACACTCTTTCATGGGATAATCATGTCAGATCCATCGCAAAAGCTGCTTCCCAAAAACTCGGATTCTTGTTCCGTGCGAAAAGCTACTTTACACCTCAACAGCTTCTCATGATCTACAAAGCGCAGATACGACCTGTTCTAGAATACTGTTCCCACATATGGGGTTCAGCACCAAAACATACGCTGATGCTCTTAGATTCCATCCAGAGAAGAGCCATTCGCCTGGTGGGTGACGCCACACTCACTCACTCTTTGACATCTTTAGAACACCGTAGAAAGGTCGGCGACCTTTCACTTTTCTATCGATACTTCCACGGGAAATGTTCTTCGGAAATCTCTGCTATCATCCCTTCACTAGCAATACCAATCAGACGAACTAGACAAGCCCAGTCAGCACATCCTTTCGTTGTCAACCTCGAAAGATGTCGAACAGCACTTTATCAAGACTCCTTCATCCATAGAACAGCTAGGCTCTGGAATTCATTGCCTGTGGAAGTATTCCCAACAACATATAATCTCCAGAAGTTCAAAAAAAATTCCAATACCTACCTCCTGTCCCTATCCTCCCTAGGAACGCACGATGTTCTTTGAACATTATAGGGATTCCCTCTCGTGCGCTCCAAGCGATAAAAAAAAAAAAAAAAAAAAAAAAAAAACCTGAAAGAGGATAGGAAGGAGGTGCCTAAATCAAACTATTTTGTTTTCTAACTGAATTATTTTTGTTTAATCAGATAATCAGATGGATAAGAAAAGAATGGAAACGAATAAAAATAGGATCTGGATCTAACTGAACCAATGCCAACTTCATGTTGACTGAATCTGATTATTGAAGAACAAGTTGAGAAATAGTGATTTATACAGGGTAGTGAATATTGACCATGATGAAATATGATGACGAGTGATCAACTCAAAAGTAATTGATATCTCTTCAACCCATAATGAAAGTGAAGCTTTCAAAATGACAGATGATTACCCGCGATCCGCATTATGTGACACAGGAACACAGGACAAAACTCTAAAATGAACTTCCACGATATTAACTTTTGTATGCTGAGTGATCACGTGATTGAATCCCGCCAAATTGTATTTCGGCCAATAATAATCGTCTTCCCTCTTTACGGGTTTGTTTCTAACCAACAAATCTCACTTGATAATATTTTATTCTTCTATGAAACTATTATAGTTGTCTTTGAGCAAGCGTCTTCCATCTCGCAACGTCCCCCGCAAAGTTGACCACAATCGTTCGTTAATAGACAAATTGATCGTTAATAGGGGTCAATAACGATAAATTTCGTGTACATTAATTAAACTTGTTGATACGAAGTCAACGGAAAAGACGTCTAAATGGTGGTTCTCCAAGGGGTCGTTTAAATGATGTTTTTCATGGAAAAATTTCTTGGTCATGATTTTCTCAACAGTACCCAAAGAAATAACCGTCTGAAGGATTCATTCTTTGAGTGAAACTCCCTCAAGCAGCATCAACACACTGGTCATCTCCGGCCTGTCTTTGGCATTGTCCTGCACGCACTTCTTACCATTCTCCACTATGCCAGCGAAGCACTCATCAAAACCCTCCGCTCGGCCGTCCGTGAGTCCCGCATTGTCACCCGCGTTGTTGAACATAATCATTCGTTAATAGACAAATTGATGGTTAATAGCGGTCAATAACGATACATTCCGTGTAAATTATTCAAACTTGTTGATACGAAGTCGCCGGAGAAGATGTCTAAACGGTAGTTCTCCAAGGCGTTATTTCAAAGACATTTTTCGTACAAAATTTCCGGAAAAATGATCGTCTAAAGGATTCATTCCTTGAGTGAAACCCCCTCAAGCAGCAGCAACACACGGGTCATCTCCGGCCTGTCTTGCACGCACATCTGGCCCATCTCCACTATCCCAGCGAAGCACTCATCAAAACCCTCAGCCCCGCAACGTCCCCCGCGTAGTTGACCATAATCGTTCGTTAATAGACAAATTGATCGTAAATAGGGGTCAATAACGATAAATTTCGTGTACATTATTTAAACTTGTTGACACGAAGTCGACGGAAAAGATGTCTAATTGGTAGTTCTCCAAGGGGTTGTTTCAATGATATTGTCCGTACAAAATTCTCCGAAAAATGATCGTCTAAAGTATTCATTCCTTGAGTGAAACCCCCTCAAGCAGCACCAACACACTGGTCATCTCCGGCCTGTCTTTGGCATTGTCCTGCACGCACATCTTACCAATCTCCACTATCCCAGCGAAGCACTCATCAAAACCCTTAGCTCGGCCGTCCTTGAGCCCCGAAACGTCCCCCGAAAAGTTGACCACGTGATCGCGCAGCAGCTTGTCCTCCCGGTGGTCGGAGTGGGGCGCAAGCGCGGTGGCCAGCTCGAACAGCACCACGCCGAAGCTGTACGTGTCCACCTTGGTGGAGAACTTCCTCGAGCGCAGGAACTCGCCCGGCAGATAGGACCTGGTGCCGTGGAGACGGCTAACCTACACAATTTGTCGATTTTTTTTTCTTTGAAATTTCCTCGGAAATTCCATTATTGGAAATAGGGGTGACGAAGAGGTCCCTTTCATGTCATGATCATATTTAAGCAGGCCTATACAAGATGTTTTTGAAATAAGTATATAATCAGCTCATCAAGAGCTTACTCAAGTGAGCTTACTCAATGCTTGATTCAATGCCACCCTATATATACAAAGGAATTCTTTCACCTGAAACCAGTTTCACACCAAACTTTTGTGGCAGTTTTGTTTCAATTGAGGACATGTTTTTATTGTTTTATTTTCATTTCTTATTATGAATTCTTCCGATTTTCCAGACCTAGCTACCTAGCAGACCTAGAATTGCTCTTTTGACCATCATAATATAATTATTGTGCTATTCACTCAAAAACTAATGATTTGATTTCCTGTTCTTAATATGAATAGGGTAGATAAATTGAAATATCTTGGTATAATAATAGATCAACAAGTAAAATTCAAACAGCATTTGAATAGTCTTAAAAAAACATGTATGAAACAATTATTATGAAATAGTCTTCAACAGTGTTTCCATATATGATTGAAGATGAAGCATCCTAGTGAACACTGAAATATTTCTTCCTTTTGTAGATTTCTGCTATGAACTATGACAGTATAATGATCATCAAATTTAAAATGAACTATTTTTGGGTAATTTTGGCTTGTGGACAAAGCTAGTGATGAACAATATGATGACTTGATGGGGTTGTCCATTTAATATTTCCTCTACCAAGCTTCAATGTTCAGTAAAAAGAAATGGCCATGCCTCATAATAATATCCCATGATAACTACCATGATAATATCCATAATCACATTCATTCAAAATAACTGCTACATTTTTGATTACACACTAGTGCAAGTTGTAAAGTCATTATCACTGTTTTGATTATGGTTAGTAGTATGGTTGAGTAAATAATTGTTCATAGATTTATCTATTAAAAATGGGTCATATAAAAACCAGTGAAGAGAAATTTACTAATAACCTCCTGGTTTTCTTTTTAATTGAGAAGGATGATGAAATTTGAAATTATTTTTTCACTAGATGAGGGTCACAAGAGAATGTAAAATACCTTGATATAATTGAGATTGTTTCTGGGCCCTTCCCTGGCAAGCCCAAAGTCTCCAATCCGAGGCTGATCATTTGCATCCAGTAAAATATTAGCACATTTGATGTCTCCATGTACCAGAGGAGCATTCTCATTAATGGTGTGCAAAAACTGCAATCCTAAAAAAATAGTGATATTATTAATGTAATGAACAATTTTTATCAACTATGCCATGTAGTATTGAATATTTTTCAGCACATATATTGTGTAAAATGTAAATGATAGCTCTGGACAATTGCTAACATGGTTGTTGAGTTGTTGTGTCTTGAGTTTTTAGTTATGATAAACAAAAATGTCTCACCTCTGGCAGTACCCACAGCAATATTCAGCCTTGAAGGCCAGCTCAGCACTTTCTGAGGGATCCTGACCCTCAGCCTATAATCTAATGAGCCTCCAGCCATATACTGATATATGAGACAAGGATGGGGTCCTCCAATGCTATAACCATACAATGGCAACACATTATCATGCCTGTATGCATTCAAACATTGCAATTCTCTGATTGACTGATTAATTTGTTCTGTCTCATACTCTGGCTTGTCCCCTTTCTGTTCTAGGCGTTTTATAGCCACTTGGGTGCATTTCCAGGTTCCTTTGAATACCTTCCCAAAGCCTCCTCTGCCCAAGACAGCATTTTCATCCCAATTGTTAGTGGACTTTTGCAATTCTTCATAAGGAATAGATGGTAAGGGCCCAGCTGATTCAGTTACACAAGATATATCTGATGCTGTTATCATTTTTGATCTACCATAATTCACTGGAGATTTTGGTATAGAAGGTCTCAAACTTCTTTCATTATTATCATCACTAATTATTGGCACACATAGATTTTCTTTGGGAATGTTCAGTATTTTTTCAGTGTCAGTGTTGAAATTGTCTGGATGAACTTTGTAGTCAATGTTCTTCAGTTTCTTTTGGAGGTATAGCTGGTTGATGTTAGGATCCACTTCTTGAACACTTTCCTTTATCAACACATAATACTTTTTGTCAACAAAACATTTTATCACTGCCATAGCTTGGTAGTGCTTCATGTGACTGAGTAACACAAATAACTCCAGTACAGTGTGATTCAAATCACCCCACATTGAGAGCAGTTCAGATGTTGGAGATTTTCCTTTGTACATAGAACGTTTGACAATTTCTAATTTTGTCTGGTCATACTTCATGTAGACCCCAAGTTTTCTCCATTCATCGTTCTGGTCAAAAATGTAGCATAATTTTTCCATCGTTTCATAAGGCAACTGGTAAATACAAAGTTGTGGTTTTGGAACCTCATCAGGTGAACCCACTGTTCTGGTTCTGTTCATCATATTTCCTAACCCTAAGGGCTCTGTATTGGAAAAACTATTTGGACCATAAGATGATAGAATAAAGGATATAAATGATATGATATATTACTCATATGTAAATGGGTATTTCCAATTCTCAGTAGCCCGTGGGAGGAGTAAACCAGTAAAGTAAAGGTAAACATCCATACCATAACCATAACCTGAAAATCGCAGACATTATCAATCTGACAGATAACTAAAAACAAAAACCAGTGGCGGAGTAGCGCAATATTAGCGCCACAATACTGAAATGTCCATCCTGACTGAAATGAAAAAGTAGGAAACTCGTGAAAAGGGCGCGATAAGATATAGGAGGTCAACTTACCTATATTCCTTTCAACGGTCGGAAACGATTTCTCGAATTGGGTTCATTGTTGGCAAGAAATTCAAACTCTGTTATTATTTCTCTTCTGGAACCATGATGTATTTTTGATTGTTTAAATCTTAATACAAAACCATATACACTTAATATCTCATAATTTTTTTATTTTCCAAAGCTATAGAAACAGATTTTTTATCAGTGGAAAATAACATTGCAGCAGTAAGTTAATCTGGAGATGAAATGAAATATAGGTAGAGGAAAATATTAGGTGAATAAGTTCTTTATTCATTCAAAATATGGTTTTACACTAACAATAATGTATATCTGCCTATAAGCAATATGTAATAAAATATCAGAATAATACAACGATTTTATGAGACCACCCACAAAAAATAGAAAAAGGTAGGTACCTATAATAATATAATATGTACATCATATGTACATATATATTTTTTGAACACAATTTGATTGAAGTTTAAGAAATAGACATTATTTTACACTTAAATGGAATGTTGGAGTTGTCAATGTTGGTGAATTCCTGAATTAAATGCTACTCTGACCACTTTTTATTTTTTCTTTTTCTGCTGCTTCTGCCTTCTCTTTTCTTCACGTCGCTTTTCTCTTTCTACAAGGGATTTGTACAATTTGTAGCCAAAGAATACTGAAAGGAAAATTACTTCATATATTTGAATGGTAACTTATATTATAAAATAAATTATAACATGACCATGACCATGATGAATAAGGTGATGTAGTCATTATTTATTACTTATGTAGTATTCATATCCCAATCTATTGTCTATTAGGTATCTCCAGTATCTCATTAGATTTATATTTAATGTATGAATATCTTTATGCTGTTCAACTCTTTTCACATACCACCTAAATAGGGAAATCCATATTTTTGGCCATAAATATAAGTAAGTAAAAAGCTTATTATAAGATCATGATGAGCTTATTTCAAAAATGATAAGACCTTACCTAATATCATTAAAATAAAGAGAACCAAGACTATCACAATCCAGATTTCGACCATTGGATTATTTCCTGGCACTACTTGATTAGCTTCAGCAAAATTTTTTATATTTGCACCCCTCAGTATGCTATCCCTCAATTCCTGTTTACTTTCTTCATTCAAGCCTGGCATTTTCTCTATAGCAGCCAGAAGCTCATCAGCAGAAGGCAATTTTCTTTCACCACCAAAATTCCCATCAGTGGGTATTTTCAAATTCTCCTCAGCCATAATTATTGTAACAATATGTTATTATTGCCAACTACTGAGTAGAGGTATTGTGAACGATAGGAGAATCGCCAAATCATCAAACTGACAACTGATAAGTTATCAGTAAGTTGTATGTTGCATAATATTAAGTGTATTATAATCAATATAAACTGTTTATTTTGTATTCAGTAAGAAACCTCAGCTGTTTCTGCATATTTATAAACAATGTTTATAAACTAAATTAGTTAATTCTATAATTCAACCTACATAGAGAAAATAAATATAATAAATTTAGTTATTCATGTTACAAATATCAAACATGATCTTGAAAATTGGGAGAAGAATACTATAGCTTCCATCATCCATCATAATATTCATTATAAAAAGGATCCTTTCAGATTCAGAGCACTCTCATAGATAGATAATACTGGATATTCATATCATAATCTCAATATCATCATGAAAAGATTCTCTTCAGAGGCCCATCATAGCAACTTAATTGGGATTAAGGTAGGGGGGGATATTTCAATGATTGTATAATTTTATTCATTAATTTGAATTAAACATTACCTGACAAGGAAACGAATACTATTCCAGGTAAAATAAATACTGAATTGGAAAAACCATGCTCAATGGGACCGTCTTGACCACCTCCTAAATCTACCATTTTACTTGGAACTTGAAACTCACGATTCTGCAGGCAGATTGAAGGACTTGTAATAATAAGTAATATTATTTATTTTTATTGTCTTTTCTTTCAGAAAATACGAAAAAGGAACTTGCAGTTTTTGGAATTAATATTTTTCTACTTCTTATTTTTTATTTTTTTATGACAATTGACAACTTCAAACTAAACCTAACCTAACCTCAGTGACACCGATTCTTCTTCTTAAATTTGAAACAACTGAACCTCAGATTCGTCTGAGAACTGAACTGTGGAATAACACTCGACACAATGAAGTGAATGAAGGAAGTAAGATAAAATCTGAAATTTGAGATATCCAAAGGCAACGTATTTTGTATCTTTGGAAGGAATATTGAAATGTTGGGTCCGCTAATAGCATGGCCAGATATTGCATATGTGGCATTGTGGCATACGGCAAACGGTGATATGGGGATATATGGCCAACATCGCCAAAGAAATGATCTTCTTATTCTTTTCGAAAATGAAACACAGAACTGAAACAGAGGAATTAATCAATTGTCATTTCGTCAAAGGCGTCAAATTGTCAAATTAAATGATTGAGATAAATGATGTAGATTCGGATTCGAAACTTCATGATAAGATTTTTTAAATAAACAAGAGCAAAAACCCTCGAAAACCAAAACCGTTCTAAACTTAAAATCTAGCGTACACACAGAGATCTGAAGCTGAAATTCAAGAAACGTTTCATAATAACTACTAGATGGACACATTAGAGACAGTAATCTCTGAACCTTGCCAAGAATCTACAAAAACAGAACAGGATCTGAATTTTACCAATTCAAATTCTGATAATGATACAAACGGAAGTACAGCTTCAGCTGAAAGAAATCTTTTTTTAGCTAAAAACGCAACGAATTTTCATCCACTAATGCTTTCACCTACTCCCCCAGTTTCTCCAGACTTTCCTGATTTAATACCTAAGCAAGCCAAAATGATGTATTTCACTCCCAATGCACATAGTTCACTGGCAGAGGGTCAAGAGATATCTATAAACCAATATCAAACCCCAGAGTATGATCAAACACTACCAGAAGTTTCAGTCAGTCCATCTGCATACAACCAACCAATAGAAGTGAATCCAAATGATCCCAGTGATAATGAGAATGATAAGTCTGTGTATGAAGCACATCTGAGTTCAAATTTACAGAAAGTTTCCCTCACTATGAATGAAAAAGAAGGTTAGTCCAATCTAGTTTTACATATTAGGTTTTGCCTAATGAAGCATGTATGAACATTTTAGGAAATTTGAATTTTCTGGCTCACAATAAAAGAAGTAACAAGTTGAGGAAAATAAAGGTGGTACACACTCAACCCAGTGAAGACAGTGATGTTTCTTCTTTGGACACAAATTCTGACAGCCTGAAATCTGAGGATGTGTTCAATGGAGATATGGAGGATTCACAAGAAAAACTTGAGGATGGTATGTACACTTATGCATTGGGATCATTGGTGGGTATAAGTGCTCAAGGTTTACATTGAACTGGTACACCCTATATATTCAGAGATTTCCTCTAGACTAATGGATAGGTAGCTAAGATTGTTTGAGCTATGCAACTGCAGTATGGATTCTATAGCAATTATGATAAAAGTATTTATTGAACCAAAACATGGACCAAAAGATTATTGACCATGATCTTCCTACCCATGGCTTCAGTCAATGATACATTAATTTATGTAGATTTTATGAATATAACAAGTGTGCAAAGAAAGTGGACATTAAGATAAGTAGGTACTGAAAAAAAAGAGAGATAAATATTGAATTAAGAGGAAGTTCAGTGGTTAGCAGTGGCAAGGTGTTCTATTTTCTCCAGGCAGGTGTTGGTCCAAATTAATTTTTTGCAGTTTCAAGCATTCAGATTGACTTGAAAGAAATAACTATTTTGAATAACATTACCATACAGAATATGAATTTTTCAACTCTTGCTAGACTCAGAATACATACTGATCTGTGTTCCATTTTTCAACTTCTAAATCAATACACTATATGTCCTGATTTAGTACAAATGATTAATGTTCCATTTTGAACACTTCACAATATGCAACTCTTTTAGAATAAATTCCATGCTACAAATTATGGTCCTCACTCTCTCAACATTGTAGTTTTATTGGATCTAAAATTAAAAATGAAATCCCATCCAAAATAAAGTCCAAATATTATTACTTGAAAAAAAAGGTGAAAGGCTGGTTAATAAAAAATGCAAAAAGATCAATCTTCTTTAATCAACCCTTTTCCCATATTTAATTCTTGTTTTCTATGTACCTTCATCTCTTTATTATTTATAATTTGAGTATTTCCATAGTAAAAAAATAATTCTTAAACATGTAATAAATTATCTCTAACCTATGTGAATGAGATACAATTTGAAATATACAGGCTGATTCACGGTGGATGACACATTAGACGTTTCTGGAGAACGCAAGTTGGTGCCTTGGATAATTAGTTGAGTTCTATCGACCTAAAATATTGTCAGCGTTGCGACGTTGCCGCTTATATTGAAAAGTAGCAACAACTTTGATTTTTTGAATGGGACACCCTGTATATTATACCATTTTCAGATTCTCCCTGAAGAGCTGATTTCATTGATCCATAATACTTGGGGTCTAGCAGTAATAATTTCAGAGTTATAGGTTGTGAAAAATCGAGATTTTTCAACTTTAGGAATTTTTTGGCTCAAAACTCTTCATAATTAGTCAAAGCAGTTTACATGTCACTATCCCAACATTTTATTCACTATCTATTGATATTTAATTGGAATAAATACAGGGTGGTTCAGAACTAAGATTTGTGACCACCCTGTATCTATTTCAATTAAATATCAATTGATAGTACATAAACATTTAAGTTAGGGACACTGAAACCGTTTTGACACATTATGAATATTTTCTCTCTATAATCTCGATTTTTCACACCCTATGTCTTTGAGATCATTCCCGCTAGACCCCAAGTGTGATAGATCGATGAAATCAGTCTCCAGGGAGAATCTGAAAATGGAAGGATATACAGGGTGTCCCATTGAAAAAATCAAAGGTGTTGCTACTTTTCGATATAAGCGGCAACGTCGCAATGCTGAGAATATTCCAGGTCGATAGAACACAACTAATATTATTCAAGGAACCTAATTTTCAAAATAATCCTACATTGTGTTTTCCAGAAACGTCTAAAGTACCATTCACCGTGAATCAGCCTGTATATGCAACTAATATTTAATGAAAATCTGTATATTTTACTTAATTCAATAAATAAGTAAATTAATAATGATTCCAAGAAACATGAGTGTTAATGAAATGTAGGATACAAATAAAAAACTAGATAATATTAGACTCCCCTAGAAATGATTTTTTATCTCTTTAATTAACATTCAATAATATAATTAGAAACATCAAAATCAGTTCAGCTACCGTTGAGAGAGAAAAAAAAATGTCTTCCCCATCTGTCCTTGTCTTCAGTGTTCCAACATAAAATAATGAAAATATTATGTTGGCATCATTGGAAATGGGAAAAAATGGAGAAGAATATCATATTAACCTCGATATAAAAGAAGGTTAGAACGGTCTTCTTCTCCATTTCTTCTCATTTCCAGTGTTGGCAACATAAGATTTTCATTATTTCATGTTGGAACACTGAAGACAAGGACAGATGGGAAGACATTTTTCTTCTCTCTCAACGGTAGCTGAACTGCTCTATTGAATGAAATGCTCAGTACACTATATATGAATAAAATAGATGATGTCTCATTTCTTAATGAGACGATTTTCCCGAGGATTTTCCCTTGTGATTATTTAATATTGTTAAATATTTATTGATCTATGTTAATTTGTTTTTTTTTATCCTTACTACAAGGTTCACTTCCTAAGGTTTCTCCCAGTTTATCCAAATTACATTAGTATCTTCCAATGTATATTTTGTAAACGTTTTTGAAAAAACTTGTATTATTATTATATAGTGACGGGGGTTTACCGTAAAGAAATAAAAAAAAACAGAATCTTCTCGCTATTTCCAAGTTCTCATGTCTTCTAGAGCATATTCTTTGTTTGAGTAGTGACCAGCCCCGAGCCGATGGAGCCCCTCAGCGCGGCAGAGGAGCGCTGCCACGCGCGGTACTGGCAGCGCATGGTCCTCCCCACCGGCGAGCAGCGCACCATCGACATGCGCGTCATCGAGCCCTACAAGCGGCTGCTGAGCCACGGGGGCTACTTGCGGCCGGGGGGCCACACCGCCATCGTGCTCTTCTCAGCCTGCTATCTGCCGGACAAGTCCAGGGTGGACTACGACTACGTCATGGATAATCTGTTTTTGTATGTATGAGTGTCCTACTTCTTCTTTTATGTTTCTTGGTTTTCCGGCTCCTTGCGGTACCAATTTCAGCAGATCAGGTAAGGGCAGTGGCGTATCTGGCCACTTACTCGGGGGGGGGGCGGTAATACAATTCAGGAAAAGGTGGGTAGGTAGTTACAAAAACAAAAAAAAGA